CTAAAACCATTAATATCTTAGAGAAGGCCCCGAAGTTCCTGAAGTCCTATGGCCTCTTGAATAGTAATTCAACTTCATATGCCACAGCATCCAGATATTCATAAGTGACATTTCCTGAGGGCCATGTGGTAACTGAAATGTGATTAGACTTGTGAATGACCTTGGGGAACAGAAGAACTGTTTGGAATTCCAAATAATGACACTTAGTAGAGAACAGGCCAACTTGTCCACTCAGGAAGAAAACATTCTGTAACTGGGTAAAAACAAGGAAAGACTATTTACTTTACCCAGGGTAAAGAGCCTTGGGGCCCACAATAAATACTGAACTAAAGTTAAGTAAACAACACAGTGATTGTGTCAGCATGTGTTGGCCCTGCACTGGGTCCTGTGGGTCAGCCTTTCAGACTCAGGACAACTCTATCCCTGACTCACATTTCAACAGCCTGAAGGCCTCTGAGGAAGGAACATTCTTTTACCCTTATTGTTGTAAAAGCTCATTTCTCATTTGTTCCCATGGACTTTGGACATGTGTTTTGTGGCACATGGGGCACATCCAAAGAATAGGATATTCAAATTCTACCTTCTGTAGAGAGTGTTGCTACATGCCATCGGTCAGTGCGTCACCTTGGTTCAAAGTCTAATACGACCCAAAATCATTCTTTAATTTATAATTAAAGTCAATAAAAGTGTTGCCGAAGAGTGAGTGAAATCAAAGGACAAAGTGATTTTTTTCAACCTAAGGAAAGTAGAAAATAGATACCAGTGCAATAGAATATCTCAAGGAGGACAAGGGCTCTCAGATCTCAGCATTAACAGGTCAAAATAGGACTGGAGAGATGACTCAGTGAAAGTGACGTTTAGTTTTTTGTCAACTTGACCCAAGCTAGTGTCATCTGGGAAGAGGGAACCTCAATTGAGATAGATCAACCTAGGATTGGCTGGCGAGCAAGCTCACGAAGCCAGTCTCTTGATTAGTGATTGATGTGGGAGAGCATAGCCTACTGTGGGTGGTGCCATCCCTAGGTGGTCATGGAAGGTATAAGAAAGGTAGCTGATGATGGGCCTAAGGAGCAAGCCAGTAAGCAGCATCCCTCTGTGGTCTCTGCTTCAGTTCTTGCTTCCATGGTCTTTCCTCCTTGAGTTCTTGCTTTGGCTTCCCTTCACGATAGACTGTCACTGAGATCTTTAAGTCAAATAAACCCTTTCCTTTCCAAGTGACTTTTGGTCCTGTATTTGATCTTATAGACACAAAGTGAACTAAGAAAAGGGAGAAATACTTATGCAAACATGAGAATCTTGTTTGAGTCCCCAGGACGCACGTAAAGCTGGGTCTGGTGACATGCTTGTAATCTCATGTGCTCCAGCAATGAAATGGCAGGTAGTAGCATCTCCTGATGTTTTTGGGCCAGCCAGCCTAGAGTATGCGGCTGCAAAGAGCAAGAGGATCTTTCACAAACACAGTGGAAAGTGTGTACTTGTAAGTGAGGCTTTTCTCTAGATGCCATGTGTGTGCTGTCACAAACACACCTGTTCTCTCACAACACACACATATGCATACACACACGGTTTTATTTTAAGAACACCAGTTTTATAAAGATATAACTTACTTTGTCATTGAAGATTCAATTGAAATATACAGCAAGCAGTTTGGGTGTGATCATCGAGCTGTACGACCATCACCACAGTAACCAGAACATTTTCACCATTCCCCTGTAAGTCTCATACTCATTAGGAGTCATGCTCCCATCTTCTTATCAATGGCTGCTCATCCATCCCTAGAGGACCACTAACCTACCCTAGGGTAGATTTTCTTTTATAGCATACTCCATACAGAGGAAAACACACAACTGCTGTCAGACTGTGAATAGAGTGGTGGTTCCATTCTGAAGCTCACCAATAGCATGTGACAGTTCTGATTTCTCCACCATGCACTGGCACTTACTAACACCCTGTGGTTTTAGCTCTCCTGCTAGGCTCATGTATTGTTTCACTGCTGCTTTGACTTTGCCTTCTCTTAATCCCTAGTGACACTGGCTATATTTTCCTATATTTATTGGCTATTTTACATATCTTTGGAGTAATATCTATTGGTCTTTTGCAATTTTTAAAGTTCTTTTTATTATTTAAAACAATCTTTTAAATTTAAATACATTTTGTTCATATTTCTTCTTCCCTCAAGCCCTTCCAGGTCCTCTTCCTCTCAAGTTCATTCTGAAAAACCAAACAACAGACCATAAAACAACAACTCCCAAATCAAGAAAACAAAATAGACCACCCCTTCCAAAAAACTCACCAAAGAGTGGCCAAGTAAAAGCCCATACACAAGAAACTGTGGGTTCCATTATATGTTGCTGAAGTACTGCTATGAGACTTGCCTCGAATTATTGTTATACCTAGTGTCTCTCCACTGGAGAAGACTGTTTTTTCCTCTCCCAGCAGGTGTAAATGCCAGTTTAGGTGAATTCTCCAGTCCTCGCAGTGTGCACTTGAGGCTGAGTTATTTACAGGGAAGGCATCCTGGGCTTTCTTAGTATTATACTAGCTAGCACCTGGCCACCTCCCAGATGACAGGAGATGGCTTATTTGGGAGGCACCGAGCCTGTATCCCAGAATTAAGAAGAGAAGTCTGTTTTGTAACGTAGATTTCTCAGGCAGGCTTAACTATCCTGGCCTAGGACAAGGTCCTCGAATGGAGAAAAGCAGATATATACACATATGTTGGAAGTATGATTTGATCAAGTATAATTAAATCAACTATTCATTCTTCCTAGTGATAGTGCAACCTCAGGGAAGCAGCCTGACAGACAGATTATAGACCCCAGTTTATAATCCAAGTGACAGTGAGACTCAGGTGAAGGACCATATCGAGGTCCATGGTCCTATAGCAGCTGAGATCTATGCTGATATCCATAGCTCATGTGGCCATAAAAGGCCACTTGTTGTCTGGGGTCTGGGCGATAACTTGTGACCTTGTTAATGTCCAGTGGCCATGATGCTGCCATAACCATCCTGGACTGAGTGGTGGGGCTTCCTCCAGGAACTAGAATGTCAACCAGGCTGAGCCTGGTGCCATGTCTGAGACCATGGTTTAGCTGCAGCTGGGATGTGTCACCAAGGTTGCCACTAGATGAAACACAGAGGCCCAGGATCTGGGCCAGAGCCTGAGGCTTGTTTGAAGACTGAGGGCCACTCCACAGCAGGGGCCATACAGATATAGGTGGCCTGTGGTGCCACCCGGTACCATGGTGTCATATTAGTCAGACTGTTGCAGAGGGCCATGTCTGGGTTTGTGACCCTGTAGTGGCCAGGGTCTAGATTGATGTACATGGCTTCTGTTGTCACCAAGTGCCATGAGGATGCCCAGGGTCAAATCAGCCACCTGAGTCAGTGTCCCAGGGCCAGGATGCATCCAGATCTGAGTGACATGTGCTTCTACTCAATGTCATGGTGATGTCTGGGCCAGAGCTATAGCTAGTAGCCGTGTCAGGATCCATGGCCTTCAAGTAGCCAGAGTCTGTGCTGATGTCTGAGGTCCTTGTTAAACATCAAAGGCCATACAGACACCTGAGATTGAGGGCCATGTTTGTCCACACTGCTGCTGGAACCTGTGCTCACCTTGAATGGTCTACACTGCTACCTGGGGCCATGGTCACATCCAGAGCTAGTGCTGTGGAGGACCATGTCTGTGTTTGGGTCTCTACCACAGCTGGGGTCTGTGCTAAAGTCCAAGTTCTGTATTGCCATCAAAGGTCACACAGAAGCCCAGGGTTGGGGCTACAACCTGAGACGGTGGAGGTTTCCGGTGGCCATCCTGACCTAAGTGGCTAGTTATACTCAGAGTCAGGATGTCATCCAGGGTCAGGTAGCTACTGAGGACCATGCCTGGGTTTGTGATCCAGCTGCAGGCGGCGTCTGTGTTGATGTCTGTGGCCTGTGTCACTCAGGAGGCCTTAGGAACCATGCAAGTTGAAGTCAGAGAACTGAGTGGTCCCTTTAATTCTCTGTCCTTGGGAAAACTGGCCTTTCCTCTCACTGGATACTACAGCAAGCAAACTGGTCCTTGCACTCCAGAGAGACAGCCCTATCGCTTACTACGAGGAGAATGAACTTACCCTGAGGGTATGGACATATGGAAGTTGACTTCACCCAGACTGACCGACTTGGCTACCACAGAGATACACAGCAGGGACTAATGTTAACACACCTTGGCATCTATCCCAAATAGGACCCGCTGGAGCTCATGAAGGGACTGATACTGTGGAACAATACCTGCAGGATGTCTAAGACTCAGGGCAACTTAATGTCCCACACGAGTTCCAGTGAGGAGTCAGTGATATGGTGTACTGGACACCAGAAGCCTTGAACCAGACCAGGGACTCATTGCAACAAACATTTGCTAGTAAAGCTGATAGGACAAAGGGCATATTCTGTGTGACACACCCCTGTCCCAAAGCCACCAGGATGAATGAAGAGGTGTTGGAGAGGTGGAAAAGAAGTAAAAGCAAAGAGTTTTTATTTGTGTTATTGTTGTTGCTTATTTTATTCTTGTTTTTATGTGTTTGTTTGCTTGCTTGTTCTTTTTTCTTTTGTGAGGGGTACTACAGTGGTGAGGGAAGGATATGGGATATCTGAAGGTGAGTGGGTGAGTGGGATTGGTGTGTTTGATGTAAAACTCCCAAAGAATCAATAAAGAAGTTAAATTTAAAAAGTAAAAGCTAACAAACATACCTTCTTGCCACAGAAACTTCAAGAAAGATTTGAAATGGAAGGCTAGTTCTGAAGAGGGACAATTTAAAATGTAGCCAAGTTGTCTGGAGTTTGGAAAGTAAGGGCACGGGTTGATCCTACGGTGAAATCGGGAACAACTCAGTCCACAAAAACTTTATCATATGTGAAAAAGAATCATATAAGAAAGTAGAAAGGGTCAATAAAGTTCTTTCTTTGCAGCAACCTCACCATATATGGAATAACTATTCTTAAATCCCTCTTAATTTCTGTAGGGCAACAGAGTGTGTGCAGCTGGCTATGGCTATGTTTTCTACCTTGTGACCAGCCGAACCTCACAAGCTCCACTCCTTTCGTTCATGTTGAACACTGCTCACTCTTGCACCAGGTAATGCTGGTTAAATTCATTTACATTTACGTGGGGTGCTTGTGATTTCATGATTGGTTTTATGGACAAAGGGTGAAGGCTTCTTGAAATTTGATTCGAGATGTGGCAATGATACAGGCTGTGGGAACACATTCTGCTCCTTCAGCCAATAGCCTTTAAGATTGGTATCTTAAAGACCATGCCCACTTCAGCATGGTCTCTTAGACTGTAAATGCAGCTATAGCGCATGCACTCCTTCTGCTTGTTACTCTTAGAATATGAGAGAAGGAATACCTGGACCAGATCAAGCTATGGTAGAATAAGAAAGTACAGAAGAACAAAACGTGATGTAAGTAAGTGCTAGGGTTTACTCTATTAAAAGGAATAAAGTGATAAGGGCTGATAGAATATCAGGAAACATGGCTATCTGTTTATGGTTAAATGGCAGAACCAAGTCACAGGGTACAGAAAGAAAAGATTGAGAAATGAGCAAAGTCCATCACAAAGGAGGGTTCCAGGTTTTGCTTGTGTCCATGCTCCCAAATTTCATTATTTTTATATTTAACAAAGTATAAAAATACAGACTACAGGAGACATTCAAAGAACTCAGTGTAATTCACTCTAAATGATCCAATTTAAACTGGACAGTAGAACTAAGATGGCATTTCTGAAAAAAACATATGGAAGGGATGAGCTAGTATGTTAAAAATACTTAAGACTGCTGATCATCAGGAAACTGAAAATTAAAACCATGAAGAGTTATAAGTTCACAGCTGTTAGGATGAATATATTCAGAATGATGAATGATGGTATTGGCATGGATTTGGGTAAAAGAAATCAAATTTATAAATTACTAATAGGGATGTTAGTATTACCGTTATACACACATAGAAGACACCCTAAGAAAATTAAAAATATAAATATCATTTGATCCATTAATTCTATTACTGGACACACACACACACACACACACACACACATCTTATACACACCTGTAAAGATGTCCATGCCTATATGTCAGTTTTTAAAAATGAACAAAACTCCCTTTAATTCCACTGGGGAAATATTGAATTTATTTTCATTCTTTGCCTTTCTTTCTAGGTATGGCCTCCTTATATATCCTAAATTTCAGCCACTTTGGAATAATGACACAGGCTTCACTCTCTTCCAAGATTTCATGGTTTGGGGAAGTGCAGGTGGTGCCAAGGTATGATTTTAGCTTATATATATGTGCATACATACATACATACATACATACATACATACATACATACATATATGCACAGTCTTTGTTTTCAAGAGGCAGACTGTTACATCACTCTACCCAAGGGATAGTAGTTTGATGAGAATAAGAACACTGTGATGTTATCACAACTAGTGTCAATGGTATCATAGGTGTGTGTGTGTGTGTGTGTGTGTGTGTGTGTGTGTGTGTGATGTTGAATGAACAAATCCCACATCAGAGGTCATTTTCTATATGGGTTCCCAAAACAATCCTTGTAGAAAATAAGGCAACAGGGCTATTAATGACATTTGCAATCGGGAGGTGACAATTGTACAGGTTCATCTACCCATACTTCCCTTTTAGTTCCTACTTATGACTAATAACTGAAAAACCCGAAAGTAAAGGAATTGTCAAATGTCACACAACCAGGAACACAATCATCTGCAGAGTAAAGACACAAATATGTGTTTGTTAGTGTAATCTCCTGAATAATGAATGCCTCGGTCTTAAAACATGGTTCCTCAAAGGAAAATAGGTTCAGCTCTAGCTGTCATTTACTTCAGTCGATGTGTTTTATTTTCTATTTTTTTCTCAAAAGAAAACAATGGATTCATGTTTACTCATTTAGTTTCTATCGCCACAGTGACTTTTAAAAGGGAAACACAGTTTTCAGTCAGTTAGGAACAAAATTACCTGGAGTCACCAGTACTACAAAGAGACAACCTCATTGAATTCATCTCTGCAATTTAGAACCATGCAGCCTAGGATACATAGATGAGGAAATATGTTTGTAAAGCATTTAGGAACTAGAACAAAAGCAAAACCATAGTAAAAGACAAATATTTACTCAAGTTCCTAATAAAAGGAAGAAAACTTTGAATCAAGAAAGCCTAAAATACACAATTAGGATAACTAGCAAGGAGATCCCTAATGTGTTGAATATTTTATTTTAGTTTTTTAAGGATTGTGGGGAAATGCTTTTTCATGTCTCATAGATAAGAATTATTTATTTGAACCAAATATTTCTTCATTTTCTAGGTATAATAATAGTTTAAAAGCATTATTTTCACCAAGTTTCATATGGTATTTCTTCTATAATAAAGAGAAAGGATAGCACACTGTGTAAACCGTACTCACACCTCTAATTTACACTTTGCTACTGTATAACTTAAAACCCGAGATTTGCGAACTAAGGCTTGGTTATTGTTTTTGAATATAATTGCAAATGAGTTATTTTTGGGTGCCTGTAATTAGGTAGTAGCTATCAAGTTACCAGCTCAGGTCTTAACCGGTTTGCACTCAAAATACCCTGTCTCCAAAGAAGTGACATTTTATAAAATGTTTGCATATAGACATTTTAGGACACGGATGTGCAGAATCTGAATGACATGTGAAACCATTCTACATCATATGTGAAGGATACCTAGGCCTCAGTAGGACACTTTCAATTCAAGTATGAATGCAAGTATGATATGATTTAAGGAGCAAGGCATGGCTGTTAGGTTAGCTGTTGGTCCTCATCTTAAAGATGGCGAACCTCAGGCCTAAGGAAGTTAAAGATCACCTGGCCCAAGAGCACTTGATACTAGGAGGCCAAGGTGAATAGCAAGAACCTCATTTGCCAGAACAATGAGATTCTTTTCAACCCTACTTAACTTTGCTATTCCTTCATGCCTTTGTAGAGGTGTTAGCCCAAGTACTCATAAGTATGTATACATATGTTAAATCCACACAGACTTACTGATTTTGTATTTGCTAAACCTGACTAGCACTGCTAATGCTGTGCTAAAATGCTAAACACTGAAGTTTTTTTAATGCGACACTTTTATTAATTAATTTTGCACATTTGGGGACTATAAGATTGTTTTAAATTTACATCTACTTCCTAATGTATTACCGGTTAGAGGAAAACTGTAATTTCCAGGGGGACTTGTTAGTGACTTTGAGATGTCTGTACTGATCTTGGTAGGCAAAACCTGCTTAAATATGCCAGTGTGCTTATTTACTTATTTATACTTAATCAATAATTAAAGAGATCTTAGGAAGTCTGAGAAAAAAAAACAATCCTTACACCTTTGGCATAACTTAGGCTGTTATTTTATAGATTTTCAGAAGCAGCAATCTGCACCTGAAGAACTTCCAGGTTTATGCATGCAGAGACTGCGGAATCGACATCTTGGAAAGCGATGAGGACACTGTGGTTATGGACAGCTTTTTACTTGGTCATTTCTCACACAAGGTGGGTGCCTTGCTGAGGCTGTTGTGGGTTGTCCATCAAGACTGAATCATGTAGACTGGGCTCCCTGATGACCTAATGCGTAATTAGAATTTTTAGTGAAAAAAAGGTAAAAAGAAGCATTTTATTTGTAATAGTGATGTTATTCATAATATGATGTGAATACTTAGAGATGGACTGTCGAGTCTATACAAACCAGAAGTTACTAACAGTCTGAAGAATTCTTATTTGAGTTAAAGGTAAGTCTTTTGATGTATGTGATTCAATACTAAACCCAATAATTTGAGTTGAGTGTCATGGCTCACACCTGTGGTCCAAGCAATTTGGAGGCTGAGGCAGGGGATTTGATACAAGTTCCAAGCAAGGCTGATGTACAAAATGAAAGTTTATCTCAAAAACCAAAGCAAACGAGAACTTCCTCCCAATGTTGTCTTAGTTTAGTTTTCCAGAACCTGTCAAAGATTGTGACCAGCCCAAAGCCACACTATCCCTATGCTGTGGTGTTCTACGCTTCGTCGTCACATTTTTGTTAATAGGATCATTTCTCCATTTAACCTGCCACCCCAGAGAATATTGATGAGGCTATCCAGGTTTATACAAATTGTTATTATGTGATAAGGTTTTGTTGGGTGAGCTGTCTGTTTGCCTCTCTGGAACTTAGGAGAGTGTGGTGGCTGTTTGGGTGGCTTCTGAGTCTGTACCATGTCTGGACATTGGGGAGTTGGGGGTCCCAGATGGAATGTTTTCTAGGTATTGGGAAGTGACCAAAAGGAATGAGAATGGGACAGAAAAGGATGCCCCACTCAATCAAGGAAATGGGAAGAAGAGAAGGAAGATGGGACTTGGAAGATGGTGAGCTACTGGACGGAGGATGAGACTGGGGAATTTGAATTGGAAGACAAGAGGAAGAATTGTAGTAATAAGGAACGGGCGGGCTGTGTTCCCACCCGGATCCTGGCTAGCTTACCCCGAAATAATTACACGGAAACTGTATTCTTTTAAACACTGCCTGGCCCATTATCTGTACCTCTTATTGGCTAACTGTCACATCTTGACTTCAACCCATTTCTAATAATCTGTATGTCACCACGAGCTCGTGGCTTACCCAGAAAGACTCAGCATGTCTGACCTGGCACCTTCATGGCAGCGGCTCTCTGCCTCTGCCTCACTCTGCTTCTTTCTCCCAGTATTCTGTTCTGTCTTCTCCGCCTACCTATGTTCTGACCTATCAGGCCAAACAGTCTCTTTATTAATTAACCAATGAAAGCAACAGAAATACAGAAGCCCCACCTTCCTCAATGAATGAAGATTGTCTGCCTGATTTACTGGCCAGCATGCCCAATGGGCTCCCTGGAAAGTGCCTCCAGTATTGGCTACTGAGACAAAGGAATGCGTGTGATAAGATTTTAGATGTGACTACCCCGTCCTTCAAAAGATACTGATTTCTTTATTATAAAAATCAGATTACAGATGGCTTGTCCCGCATTGCATAGTCCAAGGAAGCACGTGAGTTCTTTCTACATTGCAGTGACCTAAACACATGACAGAACCAACGGAGGAAGATTTATTTCACCCCAGAGTTGCGTGGACTTGAGTCCTTCATGGTAGTGAAGGAATGGAGGCTGGAAATTCTAATAGATGTAAGGAATAACATCGCAGCAGATAAAAAAAGCAGAGCATATGATAGGAATCAGGGGTTGGGTATAACAATCAGTGTTCTTCCCCCATTGACTGACTTTTGCCCTCTCCACCTTCCCATGGTTCCACAGCCTCTGTAAATGATGCCTCTCACAATAGAACCAGTATCAGATATCAAGCCTGTGATGGACACTTCATATTCAAGAGACGGCAATCCCAGTGTAGTCAAAAGCTGCTTCCCAGATTAATAGGACCATTTCCTCTTAAGGAAGTTCCAGAGTACTCTCAGGTCCTCTTAGGCTCCAGCCCATCAGTAATTTCCTTTGTGCTCATTTCTAAAAGAGTCACGTGGATATCAGCAATGAACATTTATATTACTTACTTTTCTTGGGACTGTGAAAATGCCTAAATAGGTCTGTTTTAGCCAACACTTGGAGGGTGTGGTTATCAGGATGGAAGTCACTGAGACAGGCGCACAAGACAACTGCTTATGTCACGTTCACGTCGGGAAACAGGGTGTGATGAACAAACGCTTGTCCCCCGCTAGCTTATCTTTTATTTTGCAGTCCTGGGGGATGCTATCCCCCATTCAGGGTGGGCTTTCCAGCTCAGGTGACCTAATCTAACCAATCTCTACCAGACATGCCCAGAGCCACATCTCCTAGGTGATTGTAGATCCTCCCAACCTGAGAACAATGGACCAACACACACTGTTGAGAGCTTGCAGCAAGAAGATGGCTAGCAAAGTTCCGGGGATCCATGGCCATCATTTCACTTCGGTTTGTTCCCAAATGTATTGGTAGAAATTCAGATAGTAATTGGCTCTTGTGCTTACATAGATTACTCATAGATATATGATAAATTAAGATGTGAAAAAATTATTCAAATTATTTTATTATTACACTTTCCTATATTCAGATTTCAACTTTGAAGTTAACTCTTTTGAACTATCTGTATTCTTGCAGTTTTTCCTTTTCCTGAGAGAGTTGCTGATTTAGAGATGGCTCATCTCTCTAGCCTGTGTCATTTCCAGAAGGGATGTTGCAAGGTCAATGGACCCTAAGTCCAGTCATGACTTCCGAGAACATGCTAAAGCAAGATGCCCATCAACCTGAGTAACTGTCCTGGTGAATTAATGTTTTAGTCTCTTAATTACTATTAACTAGACATCACAATTAGTGGAAGAGTACCATAAGATAAGATGTAAATTATGGCCAAATTATGAGATAATAAAATACAATCACACACCCCTGAGGTTATTCACTAAAAAGGCAGCTGATGGCCTTTGAGACTCTTAGCAAATGCAGGCCAATAGATTACTGATAAAAACTCGCCTGAACAAGTCTGATCTAGAGGTTTCTAGATAATAGTGAGTCACCCAAACAATAAAACCATTTAATTTTATATCTTACTGTTACTTAAATGATGATATTGTTTATACTGAATTAGCAAATAAGACAGAATGGAGAGATCCATTGTCTTTGCAAACGGTAACTCCATATTCATGCCGAATGCTAGATAGGGCAGCCTTGCTGTTCTCCCGCGTGTGATCAAATACTATTGATTATATAAGGAAAGCGCTGCAGTGGGAAACATTTATTAATAGGTATGCCATTTCCTCTGAAGTGTTCTCTATGAAAATCTTGTCCTAGGGGAGTGTCTTATATAGAAGATTCTTTGCTTAATTTCATTTACCCGATGCTGCTACTGTAAACCATTTTAGGTCTGCAATCTCAAATAAATGCACTGTGTCCAATGTACTGTGAAGATTACAGTTAGTCCGATTGGGCTATATTAGCAATTTCTGTTAAAGAGATAAACCTTAGCTGCTCTTGTCAAAAATAAACAAATGTGTGGGATGACAGATATGTTCATTGTCCTCATTACAATAACTATTTTACTCTCTACCTGGACACTATGATCCTGTAATTCTTAAATATACACAATCAAGTAAACATGCACACAAGTATTGAAGGGTCTAAGGAACCCCGTGATTTACACAACAAGAGAAATGACAGTCATTAATTAATGAATTTTAAAGTTAATTTTGGAGTTATGTTATTGGTAGACACCTTTTTATTTTTCATTAAATATAAGGAGACTGTTAAACTGACTGCAGAGAAAGATTTTCACCTCTGTCTTCCAAGCTTGCCTGGCTTTGTAGAATGAAGGATTTCAGAGAATTTGACCTTCTCACTCACATTTGATTGATAGCACTCAATTATAAGGTAACCATATCCTCCAACAGACACTAGTTATGGTTTTTTGTGAGTAGAGGGGGTAAACATATTTGTGTCTGTGTTGGTATTCTCACCTGTATCTTCATGTGCATAGAATACTTTAAATATCCAGGAAAAAATGCTTGGATATCAGCATGCTACACTTTAGTTTGGTTAGGCAGTTTTTGATGCTAGATCCTATTTAATCGTCATCCCCTTTAATTTATAGAAACAGCCTGGTTTGGATTTAAGTTTTGGTCTCCTTATGTTTCTGAGTATCTGCGGGCTGGCTGTCTTTTTGTTGCTATTGGAAATAATTTGGTATTTGTTTAAAGTGGCCAGACAGTTTTAGATGGGATAATGGTATTATAGTTATATCAGACATGTGTTTAAATGATACACATTTATGTATATAAGTGTGGTATAATGTATGTATGTAAATATATTCCATGTGAGTTACCAGAAAAGGTAGGTGATAAGAATAAGATGGCATAGTGTAAATAGTTGAATTTCGATCATTGTTAATCATAAAATTCTCCATACTTTCAACTTCTTCATTCATTTGAAAATGTTCATAAAACGTGAATTAAAATATTCAGCAGGTGTTGGTGGAGCTGCTTCGTTCTTTGCCCATTTTCTTGAGGGGTTATTTCTCATTTTCATTGGGGATTTGTCTACCCCAGTTTAGACCTTTCATCTTTTTCGTTTCTCTAAATTCTGTCGCAGGGCCCCTCTTTTCTCAATATGCTCGCTCCCGCTGGGAGAAATCTCATTTTCTCTCATGGTTTCAATTACCATCCGTGCTGATGTCTCCCACGTATTTGCATTTTCTACTGTCTTGTTTTGTGCTCTCAGTTTTAATCATTATTTTTGTTTTCATTTCCCCCATTTTTTTTCTAACTTGATTTGCATTGTCCTGGGTTGCATCTTTTCAAGGATATTTTTCTCATTTCTCACATACTCATTATGTTTTGACATGCTAGCTATTGGGATTAAATTTTTAACATGCCTGCTGGTTGTGATGGTGTTGTAATTACATTAACGATGTTAAACTATACCTCAGCAATTCCAGACTTCAATTTTTTAACTTCAATCTTTTTCTTCTTTTCTTAATGCTCACGATCTTCGTTCATGCTTATAACACGGTATGATCAAGTCCACTCCTCCATTCCTTCCACTCCATCTTCTCCTTTATCTGCTGCACTATTCACTCTCATCTTCAATAATCTTTCTAAAAGATAATCCATTGAGTCCTCTTAGTGATACCTGCAAGTGAAGGACATAGGAACATCTACTGGAACATGGGTAGCTTCTCAGGGGCTACACCCCTGAAGGAGACTCTCTCCCCTTTCCAGCAATCGTCAGTGGTCAGAAGCTTCTCAGCTAGGGATGGGGCTTTGTTTACCTTCTTTCTTTACCTATCCTTTTATCCTCTGCTTCTTTTACTTTCTATTGGCTCTACCTTTGAAAGTAAATTTTGTACGAAAATATTTACAGAGAAAGGCACACAATGTATTTTGTATGTAAAGTTTTAATTAAAGTAGAATTACATCAGCTTCCCCTTTCCTTTTCTCCCTCCAGTCCCTCCCATTTCCCCTCCAGCTCTCAAACTGATAGTCGCTTTTCTCTGAATGGACACCGGCTACTAACAATTCCTGGAGAAGGGAGAATTAGCCTCTTCCACGGATGAGCCCCCTTATTGGTTATCCAATATATAGTGGTCAGTCCTGAAACCAAACACACACAGCCAGCAAAAGAGAGATTCAGCAGATTGTACTCAGCTATTTGTGCATGTATGCATGTGCGTGCATACACACACACACACACACACACGTCTGTATATAATAATAATGATCACAGTGTATTTTTCTTAATAAAGCAAATCCACCATATAACGCCCTGATAAGAAACACTACCCATTTCCCTTGTAGTAGCCTCCCTTTCCCCCAGATTTAAACACAAGTATCCTCAGCTAAAGTGGAACCATGATTCAGACTCCTGGTGATATGAATTGATTTTTTTCTTCTCATTATTTGATATAGCACAGTCACAGAGCACATTATTGTTCCTGGGTTTCTTTGGCACAATAATATGTCCATGAGCTGTGTCTGTCCTCTTGTGCTGTAGTAATTTACTCCAGTCACTGTGTATTATTCCATTTTCTGACTGTACCAAAGATTTTCTCATGATCAAATTCCGTGTATTGAATTTCCAACAGGAATTGTTGGTATTTGACAGTTTCTAACCATTTTCTACCTTGTTTTCCTCATTTGAAAAAATCTGTATAGACTCTTGGAGTTTTAAAACTTATACTCTGAGCTCCCGTAATTCATCTCGCTCCTTCTGTGAGGAAAACTCAGGTTTAAAGTGCTTTTCCTCTGAGTCGTTCAGCAAAGAAGTGGCTGCCTTTCAAAAGCTGGCCCTCTTATTCGGAGCTCCAGGGCCTTCCAGCATGTGTGTGTCCCCGTCCTTAGCAGTGGTCTGGCGTCTGGTAACAGGGCCTTCCCAGTGTGTATGCTTCCCTGTCCTCTGCAGTGGTCTGACGTCTGGTAACAGATCACCCACTTTGACTGTCCTTTCAGACATTTTCCCCACCAGGCAGTTTCCTTTGTACATTCATTGTTTAAGCTAAAGTACAAAGCAGCATTTCGTCATAATATCTTTGTAGATACATCAGCGCACGTTGTTCTTACTCATCTGTCTTGTCCACTGCCCTCCCCATTGCCCATCCTCTTTAGCCACCACACCCCATGTTTCTTATTGTTTTCAACTTCCCTGCATTCCCATTGTCTTATCTTTTCATGATGTCATTAAAATTCCTTCATCCCTGATCCTGAATACATCTCCCCAGCTGGGCCTTCTATTCCTATATGGTCCATGACCAGGATGGGTTGATAATTCACCTGGTGCAGGCAGTGTGATTACACCCAGGCACCAGTGGACAGCCACTTCTGTCTGGAGGACTGGAGAACTTTTGCTTGCTTCTCACCCCTTTCAGTAGTACTACTGTCTCTTTGTACAATTGTGATGTTTTCAACACTTAATTCATTAGGAATAGAATCATATTAATGACAGTGTTTTCATTTTCCTTGGGCTTGTATACTAACTTTACTTACACCAAGATTTTATTTCTTTCCCTTGTTTGTTAATATTGGTTGCCGTTTTTTCCTCTTGGAGATTTTTGAAAAAGAAATGGCTCTCAATTGTGCAACTACTGTTAACAATGGAAAAAATTCAGAGCCAATAGCTTAGGTGAATGGATTTGCTGAAAAAGTTTTTGTGGGAAAATCTAGAAAGAGTTGTATCACTTTAGATATTTAAAAAAGATTTTTTTTCTGAATTATCTGTGAAGAAGCTAACCTTTTTGATGTATTTTTCTACGTTTCAACACATGTATGAATTTGTGTCACCACAACTACCATAATCAAATATACAGAAGAGTTGTCTCAACCTCTGCTGCCCCGGGCTTCATCTCTCTAACCACATCCTCTGCTGACGACTAAGGCTGAGCCACCACTAATATGCTCTCTGTTGGGAAGGGGGTCTTGCTCAATAATTACATAAGTGAGATCATATGGCATGCAACATTTTGGGATTGGTTGCTTTTATTGCCAAATGTTTTCAGGTATTCATTCAACTTGTTATTTTTACTAGTATTTTATTCCTTATTGCTTATGAATTTTATATTACAGCACCAATGAAACATAGTTCTTTTATTCATTCATTTGTTTAAAACCATTTGAATTGTTTTCCAGATTTTGTGATAATAAACAGTTTGGTATAAGCATTTATGAATGATTCTTGTATGACTGTTCCTTCTCAATGGAATGGCTGTTCCATATAAGGCATGATGGGAAGCTGGCTTCCCTTCTAGCTACTCCGTTTCATGTTCCCTGATCAATACGTGAGCTATAGTAGTTCCCTATTTTCATAGCTACTTGAAACTGATACTTTTTTAAAAAAAAATCTGAAGTTCTACTTCATATATTGTATTTTATTTCTACTTCCCTATTTTACCTGTTAGACATTTTCAAAAGTGGCTACTTACCATGCACCCCTTGCACTTTAGAGACATGTTTTACTTTTTTCCTTGATTGGAATTTCTGTATTTTTGTTTTTGAGGTATACAGTTTCTGTTTTCTAGATATGTTATTTCATAACTATTAGTAGCAAGTGTTTTGCTGTTTCAATAATTTCACTATGTAACTTGAAGTTTTCCTGTTTTAATTATTTTTTACTTGTGATTATACCTACATTTCATATGACTGGAAGTCTTACTTTGTTTCTCTGTTTATCTTTCTGTTTTTAAAAAATTCGCAGGGAAGTCTATGTATGTCAGCTGGGATTAAAACGCCCAAAAGATGGGAACTGACGGTTTCTAATACAACTTTCGTTAATTTTGATATGAACTGTGTGGCCATCAGAACCTGTTCTGGCTGTTCCCAAGGACAGGGTAAGTTGGAGCAGACAGGACAGATGGTAAATAAGACCAGCATCAGGTGAGTCCGACAAACAGTGGCAGAGGCTTTGATGAGTCAATATTGCAGTTGCAAGATTACATCAACACAAACTATTAAGTTCCTCAAGGGAATCCAGGAGACTAGGTGTCCCCCCATGGCATCTGTTGTTCTTGTCCTCTGCATATCTCAGTGACCACGACATTCTGTCATGTCTCATCTGGACTCAGAGCTTCATGAAATGGAGACATCTCTCTTGGCTAGTGCCTGTTTTTAAACTGGTATATGGAAGAGAGACTGTTGCCTAGTGAGAACTTTTGTTGGTGAGATGAATAAATGACATTTGGTGGGTGATGGGCACATGGACTTGAGCAGGCTCGCACACACACCACTGGCGAAAGATCTGGAACCAGGGTACATAAAGTTTTCAGCAACTTGGGCTGTGATGTGTACAAAGAAACAAGGGCAGCGCTTGCTAACTTGTCAACTGCTACACAGAGTGGTGAGAAATAGCTCCTTGGAGGACTCATGGGCCAAGGTGAAAAGAGGCAAAGAACAATTTAGTTGATCTGATCATTGTAAACAGCCAAAGCAAGTAATTCAAGTAAATATGCTCTTGTGGTTTGAATCACCAATTTAGATAATTGTTTGTTTTTTTAATTAAATGAATAATCAGCAAGTCTCCACTTTACTATTTTACTCCTGTGTAGGCAGAGTCAAAGATTGGGGAATTTTAGTTTAAGATTGTGAGATCATCATAGGTATATTAAAGGGCCCTTCAGCTCACAGTTCTCAAGTTCCCTGATGATTTCAGATCATTCATCAGACACCGAAAAAAGAAGCTCTTGTCACTGGGTGATGTTGGGTGAATAAACTTTTCATTTATTTAAAAATTGCCTGTTACGGGATCTATGTAAGAATCTAGAGGGTCCAATCAAGAAAAAGACATACTTGTTCAAAAATGAATGTCTGAGAATATAATTTCCAAAGGGTGATGAGAGTAGTCTTGGTGAGTTGAACACAGTCAGTGAAGGACTAGGGATGGGCGTACCCTGGAAAAATGACTCTCCTGGGCAACAAAGGTTAAATAGAAAACTGCCAACAAGAAAGCATGATTTCTAGGTACAACAAACAACATAGACAGAATCGTAGAGATTTTGTACATTAGTCTTTCCTTCGGAAATGAAACACATGTCCAACATAAGAAAATTATAGAGGTGAGGGGTGTTCGTAAGTATTATGCATTACAGAATATGGAAGTCTTTCACACATGGCTTGCTTCACTGCTTGTAATCTACTGATAAGCAGAGCGAAAATGTTACATCTGTGAGCATTTTGTTCTCATTTGTTTTTTTTCTGTAGTTTATAATGTGCATAACACAACAGTATGTAATGTATGTCTTGAGCGTTGTGTGCTTTTCTCCTTCAGTGATAAGGATGTATGGTATAAACATGTTCCCGGGTAGATGGACTGGCAATGGTGGTGACATGAGAGAATGTGCTGGGAGGTATGGCCTGAACTAGTACTTACAAAATATGTTCCTAAGACCATTTATACAATGGTTAATAGAATGTTGGTTTTGAAAGCGAGTATAATAAGAAAAATAAGGTATAAACAGTTTGAGGTTATCATTGAGGAGGTTAGGCTATGGTAGAGGAATGGAAGCCAAAAGATTGAGAGATTAGAGTGTAACACCTTTGGTCTTCAGAGAACTAATGTTTGTTGTTTCTATTTCTTAATAGAAGAGCCCTCCCTCCAGATATACGATTGATATCTGGGGTTATTCTTTTATTATCTAAAAATTCTACTCATTGTAGGGAATTTAACAGCATCCCTTTCCCATTCTCCCCAGTTGCCAGTAGCACCACTAATGTGACAGTTGTGACAGACAATAACTCAAAAGAATGTCAATTGTCTCTTGGAGAGTAAAATAACCTCTAGAACAAAATAACTGTCCTACAGAATAAACTGAATAGTGACTGGCCATGCACTTCTTGGCTCCCAACATCTCTAGCACATGTATCCTGACACAAGGAAATATTTGTGTTCTTTTTTTTCTTTCATGGATGACTGAATGAATTATGCAATTATAGAACATTCTAGATAAAGTATTGATAGAAACCTTGTGAATTTAGTTCTGTAATAACAGATTCATGTCACGTGTAACATTTTGTCTTGTATTTTGTAGGTGGATTTACTGTGAAGACCAGGGAATTAAAGTTTGAAAACTCTCCAAATTTAGTAGGATTTCCATTTCCTCATGCAGCAGTTCTGGAAGACTTGGATGGGTCCCTGTCTGGGAAAAATGGAAGTCACATTCTTCCTTCTATGGAGACCCTCTCCAATACATGCTTGGTCAATGCAAGCTTCAGTCATATTGTCCCTGGGAGCATCTGTGGGGAAAGTGTTGTCCTCCATCGTATGTCTATTGGCTTGTAAGTAGCACTAACTATACTTCTTAGCTTGTCAATGGGCGTGTACATACCACTCAGTCAGGCTTAAGCTTATTGAAGGGAAATTGTTTTCTGATGAGTTGAAGTTTTTATTTCTTTAAAAGTGTAGTGGGACTAATGTTGACCGCCGTGAAATCATGAATTTCTGACCGTTTTAGGCTGACTCAGATAGCCGCTGTCAATACCTTTAGGTCAGATGTTATAGCCCATGACCGCTTATTGACATTTTGAGTCAACAGCTTCTTCTTTAAAAGACTCACGACCAACAAAATATTTGAAATTTATTTAAATGAAAAGTGCTATTTAAAAAATTCCAATAATGCCATCCTCATTTATATACATGCACTTTCCCCAAGCTCTCTTTAAGTGCTCTGTGTGCTTCAGGGGAGCAATTGCGGGTGCCTCCTCTTACGTGCCAGGTTGCTTCAGTCTAGTTCATTTTCCTTGTTAATTTCATGAACTATTGGATTCGTACAATACCTTTCCTATTAATACTGGAGCAAGGACTCCTTGGTTATGCTACTCAAACTACCATTAAGTCAGCAGCTGGGCTGTTTATAATGCATAATAGGATTGCTTCTGCTCTCTTTAATTTCCAGGTAATGATTGCGGAGTGTCTGGGGCTCTCCCTTTTACCTATTTCAAATGCATTGTATATATTTAGCCACACTTATTTCCTCCCTTTAAGTGTCCCAACTCCATGAATATTAAGCCAAGTAATTTGGTCAGACCACACTGGCAACTTCCTTGAACTGGTGTTCTCTAGAGGGGGGAGAGTCGCAGAGTCCAGGGTTGTGCTAGCTGTATACTGAGTGCTTAGAAAAGTCCATCTTCTCATTTCCTTTTGGAAGGCTTAAAAATAGAGTTATCTTTGAATAGTCCAAATATTTTCTCTCTCTGCTTTCCAAAGTATTCATTATTTTCCCTACTGTGAAAGGGCTCCAAATCCCACCGAGTAAAATAAGAGTAATAGAGGGGGATGTTTTCATTTCAAATTTTCTTGTGCTGAGAATAAGTTGCTTTCTTCATTCTCAGGGATGTAGCCTGATATTCGTTATCACCATCATCATCATGCTTTCATCAAAACCTGACTTCATGGCATGTTTGGGGAATCTATGAAAGTTAGTGCTTTCATTCTTAGATGTTTTTCCCCCTCCATGATAATAAGAGGTTTGCGTAGTGAACAGGGAAGGGACATCATGTACATGTATGATTTCATCTGTAGGAATCTGTCAAACTCCTTCTAAAATGGCTTTCTTTCAGGTTTGCTGAGGTGATCTCGTGTGTGTGTGTGTGTGTGTGTGTGTGTGTGTGTGTGTGTAGTGGTAGTAGGCATTGTGAAGAAGGCTCTGACAATCATCACGCTTGTCCCAGCATCTGTTCTTGGAGCTCTCAGGGACTGTGCAGCCCTTTGCTGCAGGAACAGGTCACGTTCATCCTAGTCTGTTATTTTCAAACACGCCCCAAAGACTCATGGTAGGGTGAAATAGTCATCTTGTTTGATCACCTCCTCCCCAGTTTTAAAATATAAATCCCCATGCCCTGGAAACCTCTTTAGTACCACAACATCCAAGAAGATTCATTGCTTTTTTACCCAGACTTCTATTTTAAAATTTCAAGTGAACTCACAGGTCTAGGCACAAATGCTCAGTTGTCACAAATCAGTCCTAGGGAAGCTTCAGCATGCTCCTGGTGGTGTTATGGCCCTTGTGCCCTTCCTAGAAGAAGCCTGTTGGATTATATGAACTGTGAAGCCAGGCAGTTCAAAGCAGTCTATGGGCTCACACACGGCAGCAATGGGAAACTCTTCAGTGAAATGCAGACCTTCAGTCCGGACCCCAGACCTTGGACACCCTGACTGCAGAAAGCCTAGGTGATGCAAAGGAGCCTTTGGGCAGCCCTGCTCCTAGGTCCTTCTAATTCTGCACTCCAGGCTTTCACCCCTCCCTCTTTGTGCTCAGTGGCTTGATCTTTGTCCCAGAGCATTAGAACCTCATTAGGAACATGTCAGTGCTAATGAGCAATTTGAATTCAGCTTAGATACAAAGTTTGTTGTGTTTCATGGAGAAAGGATTAATTTGTTGTGCTATTTACCCTGGGGCAAGAGCTGCCTTCTTTACTTTCAACTGTTTCCCCCTTCTCTCAGCAAGCAGTCCCCAAAGGGCAGAGAGCAAGGCTCTATATAGCTGCACAAACAAAGCTTCACTATCCTCCCGTTTGCTAACATCCAATACTTAGTGTGATTTCTTTTGTTAGACCCCATCTCTATCTCCTTTTCACACACTGTCCCTAAGTTCTTTGTTTGATGTGAGCGATCTTAGAATCCTGTCGCTCACTGTCTTACTTGCACTGACTGGAGCCCACATCTGTGCTAGAACTTTCCCAGACTCTGTGACTCAACACCAACAGTTTGGTTGACAGAAGCAAGTAAATATTTAAAATTGGTCATAATACTCAGTGTCCAGGTGAAGAACAAATGGCCATCTTGTACAAGGCAGAGTCATATTTATCGTTTGCTAAGTGACAGCATGCTTCATCTTTATGGTGCTTCCTGTGCCATTGGTGTTATGGGAAGTGTTTATTCCCAAGCTCCTGCTTCTAGCAACAGTTTCCCAGGAACCCAGGGTGATGATGTCAATACAGGACCATGTCTTAGACTATTATGTCAGTAACACTTCCCCTAGTGATGAAAGGGCCCACAGAGTTGTGCGAGTTTTCTTTTAAAAGTTTTTAATTACATCCGTATTTATTTATTGTGTGTGGAGGTGGACATGTGTGCATGCCATAGCACATTATGAAAGTCAGAGGAGAAGGTCCTTCCATGTAAGTTCCTAGAATTGGACTTAGATATTTTGCACTTGGTGGCCGGCATGTTTACCAACAGAGCCATCTTGACTCCTATATCCCTCTTTTATTCCAATCTCCAGATTTAAATTAGTGATTTCCTCTGCTTTTATGTATAATTACATAGACTAAGTATAATGTTGTTAATAGGGTGGGTTTGTGTGTGTGTGTGTGTGCATGTATGCGTTTAGCTCTTTTAAACATTTTTATTAATTTAGACCTTCTTTTTAAGGTTTTTTATTGAGAATTTTAAACAGTTTATTTTGGTCACTTTCACCCCCTTCTCCCAACTTCCTCAAAATCTTCCTTGCCCCCTATTGAGTTCAGTTTGTGCTAACCTTCTACTCCTGGGGATGGAGCCTTTCCTAGCATGTGATTGATGTGTTAGGTGTCACTCCCTTGAAGAAATCTGGCTTTCCCTTGCATTAATCAATTGCCAATAGCTCCTAAGCTAGTGGTGGGACTGATGTCTACTTTCTCTCTTCCATGATGGCATCATGTCTGTCTTGAACTTACACAGATCTTATTCATGCTATCATAGTTGCTGTGAGTTCATATGTGCATCTACCGTGTCGTGTCTGGAAAACACTGTTTTCTTGAATTCATCCAACTTCGTTCTCTGTCCCTTAAATGCTGATGTCTTTGGTGAATCTGCAAACCTCCCTTTTCCTTCAAAAAAAACATGTGCTTCCCAAGCCATCTGAGTTTTTTTCACATTCAGTGATAATTCCCCAATGTTTCTTCATATTCAACTGCTCTACCGCATTTCAATCTTCATTAGCTGATATGTTTGTCACTAGGCACACGTGGTTACTGAACATATGAAATATGGCTACTATAAATTGAGATGTACTCTAAAGATAAATTATACAGCATATTTCTAGGATGTTATGAAAAGATAATGTGACAAGCTTCAACAGCTTGCAGTTGCTGGTGAAGCTGACGTGCAATTTAGGGTATATTGGGATACTCTATGATCGGAATTACTTTCAGTGCTCCTTTTCACTTTTTAAATGAAAGTGTCTACTACAAAATTTCAAATGAGAAAGATCTGTGACTGGTATTTGTGGGTTGCTTTTATCTCTACTAAGCAGCTCTCAGTAATTCCACTTGTGTGTTTTACATCCATTTCAAACTCAGTGTGACCATGTGGACTAATGTCTTTACTCCACAGACCTGCTTCTCCATGGGTGCTTAAGACTGCACCAAGGCAAATGCTGGTCTTAACCAAACACTTGTTATCTTATTTTAAAAAACCTATTTTGTCCCATTAGTTGACTACCAGGTTCCTTTTCTCCCTCTTCCTCTGCCTCCCTCTCCCCCTCTCTCTTACTTTCTCCCCTCCCTTCCTTGTTCGTTTTTTCCTACCTCTTTATTTCTTATCCTCCCATTTAAAAAGTGTTTTTACATTGTGCACAATAGAATGGATTATTCTGACACAAGCTCACCCTGGTGTCGATCCCCTTCTTCACTTCAAGTAGTCGCCCCATCTTAGTGTGTTGTTGCTGTGATAAGACACCATGAGCAAGGCAACTTACAGAAGAGAGAATTTATTTGTGACTTACAGTTTCAGAGGGTGGTCAGTTTCAGGGGTCTGTGGCCACGATGACAGGAAGCCTGGCAGCAGGCAAGCAGACATGATGTCAGATCTGTAGCTGAGAACTTACACCTTGATCCATACCATAAGCATGTGGCAGAGACATCTACTCAGCAAGGCCTGTGGTTTTGAAACCTCAAAGCACAGTCCCAGTCATGCAACTCCTCCAGCAAGACCACAGCTTGTAATCCTTCCAAAATCATTCCACTAATTGTGGACCAAGCATTAAAGTACATGCTTTTATGGGGGACCATTATCAAACCACCACCCACCTCCTTGGTTTTCTGGCCACATGTCATTGCCTTCCTTTTTTCTCTCACCCATTTTAGGAGTTTAATCTTTGACTTCATCGTTCTCTTGCTAGTTTCATAAAAGACAGATACAAACACACAAGCATAAACACACACACACACACACACACACACACACAGAGTTTTAATTTCCATTGTGCATATGAGATAAGAACTTGTGGGCACATACCATGCAAATGCACACATAGGTTTAAAATTAGATTTCGTGTGTGTGACAAATCTTATGGGTC